TATATATCTCTTTTTCAATCACACAATCAGCTTTGTTCAGATGAGCCACTGTTGTGAGTTAAGAGCAACCTGAGCCAGCTGCAAGAGCCCATGTGCCGGAGACAACCCCTTATATCCCATCACTGCTGTTCTGAACCGTCCGCTGACCCAGGCTTGGGTTGTGGGGGTTGGGGTTTTTTCCCCACGTGAATGATGAGATAAGATCTATATTTGCCCACCTACAGGCCAATTCCACACTGCAGCTCTGGAGGCTTTCAGTGTGGTCGAGTTACCCTACTTGGGGGAGAAACTCAGCATGTTCCTAGTGCTTCCCAGCCACAAAAGAACATCTTTGTCCCAGATTGAGTCTCACCTTTCTGCCAGAACCATAACCCTCTGGGCCAACAGCCTAAAGAGAATGAAGATGGACATTTTTCTACCTAGGTAAGCAATATTAATACTGTGAGATGGCTTCACTACTTCAGTGGTTAGAATTCTGTGTGATACTGCTGTGTCGTGGTTTAACACAAGCCGGCAACTAAGCACCACACAGGGGGATGGGGCAGAGAATTGGAAGGGTAAAAGTGAGAAAACTCATGGGTTGAGATAAAGACAGTTTAACAAGTAAAGCAAAAGCTGTGCACGCAAGGAAAGCAAAACAAGGAATTCATCCACTGCTTCTCGTAGGCAGGCAGGTGTTCAGCCATCTCCAGGAAAGCAGGACTCCATCACGTGTAACCATTATTTGGGAAGGCAAACACCATCACTCCAAACGTCCCCCCCTTCCTTCTTGTTCCCCAAGCTTTATACACTGATCATGACGTCATATGGTATGGCACATCCCTGTGGTCAGTTGGGGTCAGCTGTCCCAGCTGTGTCCCCTCCCAACTTCTTGTGCACCCCCAGCCTGCTCACTGGTGGGGTGGGGTGAGAAGCAGGAAAGGCCTTGACTCTGTGTAAGCACTGCTCAGCGGTAACAAAACATCTCTGTACTATCAACATTGTTTTCAGCACAAATTCAAAACATAGCCCCATACTAGCTACTCCGAAGAAAATGAACTGTCCCAGCCAAAACCAGCACATGCTGACATGAGCAATGTGTGAGACAAAATCAAATGAGATACTTTCAGTTTTGTTATAATGATCAGAAAAGTTCTAACCCTTTCTTAAGCCATGAAGAGGTAAGCTGGGAAGGCCAAAACTTTCTGGTATGCTCTGTACTGTTTTAAAATCCAGGTATTTCAGTTGATCCTACAGCTTTTACTTAAAATTTGTTTGGGGTATAACAATCCTTTAAAAGATCTAAAAAGAGAGAAATGTTTGTGGTCCTTTCCCACACTCCATTTTTCTCTTTGCTTAAGGAAGAGTAAATATAAAACCTTTAAAAAAAAGGGCAATAGCTTATTTTTACAACTTGCTAGTGTACTACAAAAGTACTCTACAAAGAACTTGGGACCCCCCACCAGTCATACCCATCCTTCTGTGCACAAAGCAAGTTTTGGCCATCCATTTTCCACATTAGTCATTCACCACTGCTAGCAAATGCACACATCCTGGTGGTATTTTCTATCAGCTATTCAAATGAAATTGCATAGCAGGAGGAATCAGGTGCAGGAGGGCCTCTTGTGGCTGTACCTATTGTATGGATCAGCATGAAAGGGCTTTGTTACACATCTCTTATGATACATTCCCCACCCTAACGAAGCGCTGGAAAACAATTTGTACGTTAATATTCTTTTTGTCCAAGCTAATCTTTTGCAAATGTTTCAAAGGGCCCTTTGCTACGGCCAAAAAGATTGTTAAAAAGAGGACACTTGGGGAAATGCAGAGTTCATGTGTCAAGAAGACTGAGAGGCAGTCTGATTGCAATAGATGGGGACAAGGGTTTCCATCTGTTAACATCTTCAGGTGAAGATGAGTCGCTTTTCTGCAAAGTACACTTAATCAGACAGAAGGCATTGGGCTCATACAGAAATAGATAGGTGAAATGCAAAGGCTTGAAATAAATTGCATCTGTTCTACCTTTTACCTCTATGAAACTATGAATCTGACATTTAAATAAAATCTATCATATTAATTTCAGGTTCAGCATTCAAAGCCTTTTTGACCTAAAGACAGTTTTTTCTGCCTTGGGAATTAGAGACGCATTTGATCCCATCACTGCTAATTTTAAAGGTATTTCAGGTAAGAGGCTTGACTGAATAGAAAATGATCACTGACCCAATAGTTGCAGACTCTTGCATTTGAATGATTCAATAGACCTGGGCCTTCTGAACTGATTGTACTTCTTCCTCTGTGAAACTCTAAAATACAATTGACGCTCAACTGTTCTACTTTGTTATTGGCAATTATATTTTGAGCTGTTGTTTTGTAGGAAAGAGGAATCTGAAAGGGACAGGGTGGGTTTTGGTCTTGCACTGGTGAGGCCGCACCTGGAATACTGTGTTCAGTTTTGGGCTCCTCACTACAAGAAAGACATCGAGGTGCTGGAGCGTGTCCAGAGAAGGGCAAGGAAGCTGGTGAAGGGTCTGGAGCACAGGCCTTATGAGGAGCGGCTGAGGGAACTGGGATTGTTTAGTTTGGAGAAGAGGAGGCTGAGGGGAGACCTTATCGCTCTCTACAACTACCTGAAAGGAGGTTGTAGTGAGGTGGGTGTTGGTCTCTTCTCCCAAGTAGTTAGCGATAGAACAAGAGGAAATGGGCTCAAGCTGTGCCAGGGGAGGTTTAGGTTGGATATTAGGAAAAATTTCTTCATGGAAAGGGTAGTCAAGCATTGGAACAGGCTGCCCAGAGAGGTGGTGGAGTCACCATCCCTGGAAGCATTCAAAAAACGGGTAGACGTGGCACTTTGGGACATGGTTTAGTGGGCATGGTGGCATTGGGTTGATGGTTGGACTGATGATCTTAGAGATCCTTTCCAACCTTAATGATTCCTAGTTTTTACTTTCATTATAAATAATCAGCCACCAAGCCAGGAAACATGAAATTACTACTCTGCCCTTAATTGGTTTAGTGGTGGACTTGGTAGTGTTAGGTTAATGGTTGGACTGGATGATCTTAAAGGTCTTTTCCAACCTAAATGATTCTATGATTCTTCCCTGCCCCCCCCCCCTTTCTTTAAGATGAAAACTGTGAAGACAGCATAGGCCTCGAAAAAGGTTATTTATTCAGAAATCTAGGATACTTTAGTAAAACTTGCATTCCTATTTGTGTTTTTTAGTAGTTATTTAACAGTTAGGGATACGGGTTCAACAAGTTGGTATTCCAGCTCCTGACACTGCAAACAATATTGGCATATGCCTATGCTATGTTGTCTTGCTAATCCAATGTCCAGTGGACTAAATTATACTTTCCCTTTGCTAAAATACTAGTGTTACAATTGTAAACTGTCTTGGTTTTGGAAGTCTGAAATTATCCCTCTCCTTGGAAAATTTTTATCCCTATTTAATACTAAATACTAAAATAATCCAAATTATTTATCTTTTTTTTTTTTTTTTTACTACTTCCAGCAACACAAGTATTTCAACTTAGTCATTTCTGCTCATTGCAAAGACTCAGAGTGGTAGCTGCTCCAAGAGATGCAGAGAGTTCATGCAATTCTTGTGCATGTGAGTAAATAAATGGAGGTATGACAACAAGAATTTCCTCCAATTTAGACAAACCTTCTTTTACAGAAAAGTTAATTTTCTGGGATGAACCTCAGAAGGCATGTTACTTATGGGGTTTTTATACCCCTTTTAAAATTAAACATAACGGGGTTTTTTATTGCAGTACATGTCTAAGACTGCAAAGAGATCATAGAATCATAGAATGCTTTGGGTTGGAAGGGACCTTTAGAGGTCATCCAGCCCAACCCCCCTGCAGTGAGCAGGGACAGCTTTAACCAGATCAGGTTGCTCAGAGCCCCGTCCAACCTGACCTTGAATGTTGCCAGGGATGGGGCCTCTACCACCTCTCTGGGCAACCTGTTCCAGTGCTTCACAACCCTCATTGTAAAAAACTTCTTTCTAATGTCTAGTCTAAATCTATTCTTCTTTAGTTTAAATCCGTTATTCCTTGTCCTGTCACAACAGGCCTTATTAAAAAGATTGTCCCCATCTTTCCTGTAGGCTCCCTTTAAGTACTGAAAGGCCACAATAAGGTCTCCTCGCAGCCTTCTCTTCTCCAGGCTGAACAACCCCAACTCTCTCAGCCTGGCCTCATAGGAGAGGTGCTCCAGCCCTTGCATCATTTTGGTGGCCCTCTTCTGGACCCGCTCCAGCAGGTCCATGTCCTTCTTGTGCTGAGGGCCCCAGAGCTGGACGCAGCACTCCAGGTGAGGTCTCACCAGAGCAGAGTAGAGGGGAGATGCACGTTAAAAATAATTTGTTACTGCCTGCTTATCTGTTAAAGCCTGCTGCTTTGTTTATTGCACACAAATGTTAATATAGCAATAAAGTGCACAAGGATGCATTTTATAAAGATAACATCTATTTAAATAAGATAAATACTTTGAGGAAATTAACTCCACCATAAACAATCTCATTAAGCAGTTTCTTTCCTATGCAACTTGGTGGCTTTCTGCTTCACATCATAAAGGGTAAGGCTTGTGGAAGTATTTGATCCTGCCTGTGGTGGGGTTATGGATTAAAGGATATGTTGAGGCCCCTCACAGTTCTACTCTTATGTTCTATGCCTCCATATCTTATGTCTTAACTATTCAGTTATGATTCATAATAGTAGGGTTATAGCTATGATGGTCTAAGAGTTATGTGAGGCGAGTATATAAGGAAGGTTTATCTTTTATTTAACCAACAGATACAGTTGGAAAAAGAACAGGTAAGTTTTCAGTTCCTCTTCCATATGAAGCAGAAGCCATAATCTTCAGAATATTTACTCTCAAGTCACATTTAGCAACCAAATATTTTACCTCATTTCAGACCTGGAATAGCTTCTTTATGCCTGAAAGCTTCTTTTTTTTTTTTTTTTTCCTCCAAAATACGTTATATTTATCTAATTAAAAAAATTCTGCTTCTTCCCAGTTTTGTCTTGCTTGTTCCTATCTCAGATTTTTGACTGGACAAAATTCAGATAGAAACAGATAAAATGCTCTTTTAGTATTTCCCTGTTTTCACCTGTATGTCAGACTCAATCCTCATATTCAGACAAAAAAGAAAAAACCTCACAACCTTCCCCACTTTCTGCAGTCAGCTGGGGGGAAGCAGACTTGTAACAATCTCCTTGGTATCCTTCTGAAATTAATTTTTTTCCAAGCTCCATTTTATGTCACAGTCCCATCGCTTCTTTTTCCAAGCTCCATTTATGTCACAGTCCCATCGCTTCTTCCTGAAGAGCTGTTTTTCTGCAGTTTCCCTTCCAACAGTTCCTCGATCCAGTATTCATTCACTGTCCCCACTGTGTTAATGAGTTTCTACTCTGACCATGTAACCTTGCTTTCCACCACAACCTGGGAGACCTCTCAGACTAGGAATTCCCCTTCAGCATTCAGTCCGCTGTTGTCCATATAGTGGGAAAACAGTCATAAAGATGAAAGAACAGGTAAACATGGGTAGAAACGAGGGAGAAGAGGGTATTCACAATGGTGACTTAAGGCTCCCTGGAAAGTCCTACTACAGTCAAAGAGGCAGTCAAATGTGTGCATTCCTACGCAACACTGGCAAGGGACCTGTCTCCCTATCAGCAATAGAGAGATCTGAGACACGCTGTCTCCCCTAGACTAAAATAACCTAATGTCGCCTTCCTCCTGTGTTATCTCACTTTAAAGATGTTCCTATACTGTGTCAAAGCAATGGTCTTCTGTAGCCTGACTCCCACCACTGGACATCAGTGGAAATGGGCCAGATTGCAGCTGGCTCCATCAGCAGTCCATCAGGACACGTCACAGCTCTTCCAGGTTTCCACCGATACAAACACAGTCAAAATCTTGTCATACCCCCTCCCCCAGATTAGAAAGCAGACCTGAATTATGAGAAGTCAGTAGCAGAAATGCCTTTAAGCAGAAAAATATTCCAACTTTGCATTCACAGTAGTGATTCTTTCCCAAGAACTTCACTGCTTGTCTGAAAGTGGGATCCACATTTCATGCAGAAATCAGAGGCACCTGGGCCATCAAGCGAGCTGCCCTGACAAAGGACATGTTCAGGCAGATAGACTCAAGACACACATGAGTGTTTTAGCTTATTCGCCAAGCTGCCTGCACATAAGGTCATGCTGGTCCAAAAGCCATGTAGTCATACTATCTCAGCTACGTGTTGAGCTAAAAAGTCCTTAATATCAAGCTAGCATAGATGTTCAGACTGTCTATGCTCATCCATATTAGGCACATGTATGAAAAATCAGGAGCTGAGTCAAAATTAGAACTGAGGATCTTCTACCATGGAAGCCAGATACAGAAAAATCAATTGAAATGCAGGTTTATACTGTGCTGTCTTTCTGAACGTGATGTGGTGAAGGAACCAATGGAAGGAATTTGCAGCAGAAGAAAAGCTACTAATGTGACATGTATTGTGTTCACTATGCTGTCACTGAATTAGTCCCCCAAGTGAAATACCTAACAGCTATATGATTCTGCAGAAAAAAGGTAAAAGCATTCTGAATTGAGGAAAAAAAAAAAATACCGTTCGCAATGTAGTTCAGAAAATAACTATTAATATTCATTTCTGGGTTTTTTTGCAGAGCAAAATAGTCTTTATATTTCAGAAGCTATTCACAAAGCAGAGATTGAAGTAACAGAAGATGGTACGAAGGCATCAGGGGCTACAGGTAAATCAAATACACAAACTTTACTTTTCACTTCTGACAATTATCACTACAGAAACAACAGTCTTTTATTTAAAAAAAAAAAAAAAGCATGGTAGCATTTAAATGTATGCCTAACCTAAATTTATATTTAACATGCTTCCATTTCATCTGTGTAATTGTTCATAAGAACTGTTAAAACTCTTTTTCTTTCCACGTTTGATCTTAGACTAACATATAAAGACTCAAGTGAAAACCAGCTTTACCAGCCCAAGGAAAGTCCAGTTTAAGAAAATAAACCACTTCTTTTTCTGCTGGCCAAATCTGTTTGCTCAGATCATAAAAGCAAAGAATGAAAAAAGGTTACTAATGTTTTGTCCATAGCTCCTGAACCATTATGGGGTTTGTTTTTTGAAGATGAGCTCTTTGGTAGTATTGAAGGTTATGACAGGAAAGTTTTGTCTTCATGAAGACAGGTTTGTTTCTTATGTACTTTGAGGTGTGACCTTCGTGTGCAGTAGGTTTCTGCTAACAGATCATTTCCAAGTGAGCAGCTGGAGCTGGCTGAGCGGGAAGATTCAGAGTAAAATCTCAGCTATGGATTACACAGTCAATAAATAATGTTCATAAGCTGAATGACATCTCAGTAGAAATCTTCCATCACAACTTACATAAAACCAGGGAACTAAAATTAGTGAGCTGTGCAATCCCCATTTTTCTTTTTATTTTTGTCACATGAGCTTTATCAAAAGTGGCCCGTGCTTTTTTGTTTCCCTTTTGGAAGCCTCAGATGCTCCGGAGATGCTACAAGTCAGCATGAAAGGCAGCAGCAGTCCTAGACCCCTGCATGGATTACGTAGGCATTACTGCCACTTGCTTCTCTTCAGAAGCTGAACATGTCCTCAAGCTGTTCAAACATCAGCACAGCAGAAGGGTGATCGTTAACCTCATCTCGCCTTGCTGCTTCCCCGGGCTGTGCTGACTGTAGACGTGCTCCACGCACACACTGCAAACGCTGGTGGTCCTTGACTGCAGATCAGGGCAAGATCTGGGTCTCTCCCATTTCTTCTGCTTGCCCTTCTTTCTTTCAGAAAGGAATCCAAGAGGCATGTAGGGAGAGCACCGCAGTGCGCCTCACTGCCGTCTGTGAAGTGCACTGCAGACATCCCACGGTCACGATGCTAGAAGGAACCTGAGCACACCTGATTTGGTGTAGTATTCCTCTAGCAACAACTTTGAATAAGACACACACTGTACATATGTGGGTGTACAGTGGAAATTTGACATAACTAAGTTAACCTTTCTGCAGAGTTGTACAGTTTTAAATTTTATGACAATTTTCATCTCTACTGGGGCATTAATATTTTTAGTAATTTTTCTGGCAATTCCCATACAAAATAAAAGGTTTTAGGTGGCTTCAATTACATACCAAAGACTAACAGCAATCAGACATCAGACCTTTATCCCATTGAAACCAATGCCAAAAATTCCCTTAACTCCAATCAGACCAAGCTAAGAAGCTGATTTAAAAAGGCATAATTATGTTTATTGTTTACTTTAAAAGCTCTGGATCTTGTCACATGGTGGCTTGAAAGCTAAAGTAGGCAGGTTTTTTAGGAGCACTGAAATAGTGCCACTCAAAATAGTTTTACTGAATCTTACTTGAATTTTCAATTGAATTCCATTGTTTAAACTGCTCATTAAAAAATAGTCCAAATCTGTTTTTTTTTAGTATTGGGGGTTTTTTTTGTTCTGTTTTGGTTTTTTGACAATGTATTCTTAATACTATATTGCTACAAAGAAGAATTTATTTAAACAAGATGTATTTTAATAATAGCCGAGCCATCATAATTCTTAAGCAGTCTCTATTTAATCTAATAATTAACCGACAACCAGAGAGGAGAAGGACAGTCATAAACTGAGATTGAGAATACTTAGGTTTTGTTGAGAGCATGTAGATATTTCTCTGCTGTTTGTCTCCCATTTAGAAAAGGGACTATGTTTGTGCCTTGCTTATCTTTTTTACTAGGACAGAAAAGCTAGGAATTGGCTAATGGGTTAGGCAGTAGCATGGTATGACTTCAGAAGAGTTAGGGCTGTGATAACAACAAAAATTACATTACCTTTGAAATCCAAAGCCAGACAGACTCACTTCAGCAGCAAAATACACACAAATCACCTGCATGTAGTCTCACAACACCAGACTTGTTCATTCACCCAGACTGGTTTCACTGTTGGATAAAATTGTTAGTTTATTCTTAAAGCAGAAGAGCAACTCAAAACTCAAGGTACTAAACATCAGAGCTTGAGGGCTCTGTACAGAAGATGGAAAGAAAATGGACATGTTTTACTAATGTTTTCTTTGTTGCATTACAGCAATGGTATTACTAAAAAGATCTCGAACGCCTATTTTCAAAGCAGACAGACCTTTCACATTTTTTCTGAGACAAGCTAATACAGGTATGCACGCTCTGCGTTTCAGTAACAGAATCCTTCACAAGCAGCACTGAAATCAGTAACAAGTTCTTGGTAAATAGCGTGCCATTCTTCAGTCCAGGAAATTTCAACCATGGAAACAGTGGGTTTAGGGTTTTTAAAGCATAGAGTTTAATTTCTTTAAAAAGAATGCATGATAGTCACAAAAGTCAGGGAAGCCAGATTAGCCTCTTCTGTGTATATGGTAAAAATCTTTTTGAGCACATACTGCATAATTATAGGCACTACAAAGATCTTATAGATCTTAAATGCCTTAGGATTAGGGACCAGCCTCCACAAGGCGATTCAAATTACAAATGGGCTGGATCCGCTGGATTGCTATCTAAAGTCAAACCAGAAAACTTTCCCTTATAGATGAAATTTATTCATGCCTACACAGATGGCACACAGCAAACAGACTTCTGCCTGTAGGTACGAGGACTCCAGGGCCTGAAATTCCTTGTATTAATTCCTACCACAGCAGTTTCTAGGGGGATAGCTCAGAAATTCTGAAGACCAACAATCTTTAGCCCAGATGAGCTACAGCTCAGAATATGCAGAAGCAACTTTCTCTTCCCTTGTATCTTGAATATCAACACCTTCGAGGAGATAGTTTTACACATCTGGACTCTTCACTACTTAGTATCCTCACAAGACATCCAGGTTATCAAAAGCCACGGATATGCACTGTATGTGATCAGATAACTAAGCTCTGCAAAAGCTTAACTTCTATCTTCACTTTTGCAAGGAACTGCCAAAAAAAAAAAAAAAAGAGCATGTTTCTTTTGCAACTGATAACTCTTTCTTGTGAACGAACTTCCCCAGCCCCCAAAACAAACAAAACTGCAGATAAAGGGTGAAGCACCACAGTGCTCCTTTGGCTTCAGTATTAAACTATATGTCTTATTTCCAATGTCCAATCACGTAAGTTACTCCAGAATCTCTGCCAAAGGAAAACACCATATAGCTCATTGGCAATAATAAAGAATTGCATTATGTATCATTTAGCAGGCATTTGCTCCTCCAAAGCATCAGGCCACCTCCAACAACTCTGACCATTCTTAGCAATGCAGTAAATTTGCACCTTAAGTATTTTCCTAAAAATCCTTCAAACCACCAAGTTTCTCTCATAACTGGGATCACATCTGGTTAGATTTCAAGGAAACATATAGCCATTTATAGGGTTCAGTAAAACACTGGGGCCTAGCAAGAAGACCAAAGAGAATAATTTTCCTTATCTGCTTCTGAGCAACACACTCTGTTCTATTAGTCGGTGAATACCTGTGTATGTAACACTCTGCTTTAAAAATCTGTATCTTACATTTTGACCAAAATGCAAACACATCTCTTTAAAGAAAAAAGCATTACCTTGGTGGGGGTTTTATTTTAAATATGCTTTGGCAATTATTACCATTCAGTGAATAAAAGTATTTTTGCTTGGCAAATGAAGAATTAAAAAAAAAGAAAAAAAGAAAAAAGAAAAAAAAGAAAAAAAAAAAAAGAAAAAGGCACTAGAAGCTGGTCTGTGAAACTGATGCCACAGACTCTTCAGGATTAAGAACAAAGTGATTTCAGTGAATAAAATCGCTCAGTTTACAGTATATGATAAGTTATGTAAATAGGAAGGAAATCAGACTGTAAAACAGGATTTTCATGAAGCATAACAAAATATATACCTTCCAATCAACTCAAAACCAGAAGTACATTTCTGTAATTTAAGCTTTTTAGTGCAAAAAGTGAAAACTGAAAACACTCAGTCATTTTGTTTGTTCAGACTTAACGACTGAAGTTGTTCAGGTATGAAAAGGGGAAAAGGTAAACAGGATCTGCTTTTAATACATTTTATTAACCTAACTACAGATACTTAAAACTTGCTATCCCCATAAAGTCACAATGTATCTTTATGTAGACCAAAAGTCTTCATTGCATCAGTCTTCTAGTAATAGCAGAAATACATTTTCCAAGATTTAAAATAGCATAGTTCTGCCTGAAATAATTGAAAAAGTTTGGGTTTTATAAATCTGAACTTCAGGTTTGAACACATATCCTTCGAAGGACAGGCAAGGTAACAGCAATACAAACAACTGAACCACAAATTCAATGAATCTGAGCCAGTGATTTCATTCAAGGGATTGTAATAACTTCTTCTGTAAATGCAATATCAATACAAAGGAATTAATTTAGGCTCTGTTTTGCTCAGTTCAAAAGTGATTCTTTAGCCAGTGGTCTGGGTAAGTTTCAGGTTTTGTCAAATTTCTGGCTTGGCTTACCAACTATTTGCAAAGGCCTTTTTGTTTTAAACAAAGAAATGTTCAAATTATTCTGAGGCAAGCATGCAGTTGCAGTCAATTTTTCCATACAAGCAATGAATGATCAAAAAGCTGCTAGTTCTGTGCTTAAGTTATATAAACTGTACTACACTTTGAAAATGTGGTCCCAAACTGAAATAATGTTGATGTTGTTTTCATTTACAGGTTCAGTGCTCTTTATAGGACGAGTTACAAATCCTTCATAATAAATACTAGACAAATACACTGTTCCTCCTATGATAAGCTTTCCTTCAATGAAATTAAAGGCTACATTACATGTATTTATTAAAACACTGTTTAAACAATATTGCTATTGCAAGAGTAAGAGTGAACAAGTCCTCCACCACCTTATTACTTTGTACATACTATTGGAAATTTACAGCTGTCTAGGAATCATTAGCACCACAACTACAGCAAAGACAATACGTATATAACCATTTGAGGAACAACTGAACAGATTTTGCCACCTAAATCTGCAAGAATATGGGCCAACAACTTCTGCTTAATTTTATCATAACTAAAGTCAGCTTGACTGTCACTCCGTAGGTGTGTCAGATGTAGGTCATCTGAAAGTGAGCATCCCACAAGAAACATATATGTGATATATGTTATTTTTCAAGCACAACTTTATTTCCCTGTCCTGAAGTCAAAAACTTAAGAACAAAATTGAAGTTCAGTCTGGTCCTAGACTTAGATATAATCCAGCTGAGACTGTAAGGTAAGAAGCAAGCAGCAAAATGCTGTGAAAAGGAAATCAAGTCGAGAGGCTGTTTCAAAACTGACAGAACAGGTAGGAAGCAGAAATACCCACTCAATCAGTGACCAAACAAATATTATTGCCAAAAAAAGGTAGTAGTACGACCTTTATTATCTTTTATTTTACTTTTAAAAAAAAAAAAATGAACACAGTATAGAGTGGACATTCCTGAAGAACACTGAATAAGGCTAAAAGCATCTAGAAAAATGCTTTTTTCAGCATCCTGACAGAAGTTGAGATACAGTGAGTGTTTTGAGTTCAAGATTCAGCAACTCGTGGCACAAGCATCAGAAACCCCAGCCTTTAAAGATTTTGGGGGAAGATTGCAAACCACTGACACCTAGGAAAAGCATCAGAGGGGAGCTGCTCCCACTGAATCAAAGAAAGCTTTCCAGAAGTTAGGAGCATCTAGCACAGAGGAAAGACATGACCAATAAAGCATTCAATGATATTTTGTGTCCAAGCAGCAGCACCTTCTGACTATTCCCGCATTTGTAAACATGTAAAACCTTCTGACACAGAAAAAACTCTGTGCAGCATTCCTTAAAGGCTACTGACCCCTGCTTTACTACATTGTATCCTCATAAAACTGTGGGTTTTGTCATTGACGTGGATATGCATACAGTACGCCAGTTAGTTATGCTAGTCACCAAATAGTGAAGCGCAAAGGACACAAGGCCACAGGATATCATCCTACCATAGTTGCAATTCAGCATTAGCTTCCTTTCACTTGTTCTCTGATTAAGAACAGAATATCCAGCGATACAAAATTGCTCTTCATTCTTTAACACTGATACTAGAACATGGAAGCTCCGGAAAGGGAAGGCAAAATGAACCGTTCCAATAAAAACTGTACTCAATCCTACACAAAGATTAAAATAGAGTTTTTATTGATGGAATAACAAAAGTGCTTTTCTTAAATATTTTTCAAAATACATTTATACAACTTACAATAATATATCCAAAATAACTGTATATACAAAACATTACCTTGTTTAATGTATGTGCTTTTTTCTTTTGAAAATTACAAAGCAACTTTTTGGCAAAGTTCAACCTTAAGAGGTGATAATTTTGAAGGTTGGATTAAGAAAAATAGAACCTGAGGGAAAGTGACACTTAAGTCCATGACAAGCAAGAAGTTCTCCATTTAATTAAATAAAAATGTTTTTGTGATATTTTTCACATTACAAAAATAACAGAAGTCAAGAAAAAAAAAAAGACGATGGATACTTTTCTCATCATTTTATAGAGCAGCTTCTCATTCTTTCACGTATAGGAACTTGAGATAAGAGTGCATGTCAAAAATGAATGCAAGTACAGACAGCAGTGCCCTGCTGTGACTTTCTCTTGCGTGCAGTGTTTCTTAGCTGCTGTTGATATGGTTGACCTGATTGGATCTGCGATGGATTTCTTCCAGAAAACTCTCAAGCTGCTCTATCAGCATTCGTTTTTTAAACCTGTATTCAAAAGAAAGCATAACGGATGCACACAGTAATACATGACACATTGTTCGCAAAACTTTTACCAAACCTGGAAACTTCAGTTATTATTTTAGGTCCAGTGCACGAGGAGGTTATAGATACCTCACATATATACACACGCCATCTCCTGAAGTTCTGGTAAGCTACTAACTTGCTTTTCCATTTAATGAGAGAATACAAAACTGTGCTTACTACAGTCTATTCTAGCACATTGTTGAACATCACTCAGCCCTCAGAAAGCCAGGAAAAAGAGAGTTAAGTGTTTGCTGTTTCCAGAAGTAAATTTCTGAAGTACAGAAATAAGATGTATGCCAGAAGAACTATAATCCTAAAGCTGGCAACAGCTTTTAAGCATTATTTGCATGCCTTCACGGTGCATTCACAAAAGTTAAGTGATATTGGTACTGGTGAAGCATTACACATTGCAGAGCGGATTTCCTGACAAGAAAATACAAATTAAAAACTTGAGAAAGAAATTAAAGAAAATACAGATGTAATCCATACCTGGAGTCTCTGCAGTTCTATTCCATATTGATTACATAAATTTGAACAGTAGACCGTTTTGTCACCTTTGCTTACAAGCCCTGCCTTGGCACTCACAGCTCCTTGCTGTTTCCAGCCAGCCCTCCCCCTTGTGACATTTCTGCATTTGAGAAGCCACTTCTGACTGATACTTTGGCAGCCGTACGCATACTCAAAAACAAGCAGCAATGAAAAAATCGCCCACTTTCTCAACTCAGTACTATTCTGAACTATACACCACGTTCAGTCCTGTGACCTTATTAAACCCTGGCAAAAGCCTCTAGTCCCGGCCAGGCCTCCCAAGTCCATGTTCTTGGCTCACAGAAAAATGGCATCTGCCTTAACTCCCAGACCACAGATTCCCCCACAATCCCAGCTTGACTATGAGTAAACAAGCCCCCATTCCCAAGCACTTACTGTCTCACTGAATACCCATGCTCTGGGCCCTTACCCATCCTTCTCATCACACTTCTCCTCAGTAACCCCACAGAAACCCCACACTTCAAGTACTGCTTCCCCTCCATTCTTCCTCATTGCTTTCACAACTGCTCCCTGCTTGTTGAAAAGTATTGACCTGGGAAACAGATAATTATTCCTTCTCATTCCCTCTAGTAAAAGTCAAATTATTTAAGCTAACAGCAAAGTACTTTACTATAACGTATCCTAGTGAAAATTTAACATACTCATATTCTGTGCAAGTGACTGGGCAATGTTATTTTCCAGAATACCTTCAAGCCCCTCTGAAGCAGCTGTGCAAGTTAACAGCAGACATTTCCTAGAAACTTAAAAGCTGGTGGAAGGTGGGGAAAAAAACCACATTGCTAACTATTCTTGCAATACTGTTGGCACAACAATTCAGGTTTACAGTGCACTATGTCCAGCCCCTCAGTACATCTCACTAGAAGTTCTTTTCCAAATGCTGAATCCTACAGCAAGCAACTTTTTTTCAAGGCAAAAGTTGTTCAAAAAAAATTCAAGGCAAAAACAGAAACAATTTACCACATTAATTAATATTGTAATTAACAGAATTAAGCATTGATTCTAATTCAACTGTTCACTCTGCTAGGAAAATTAGTACCCTTAATAATAAAACTTCCTTGAGTAGTTCTAGCTATTGAGCATAAAGCTTCATTATTATTTTGAAATTGGCTGTATTAATTCTTGCCAGCACTTTTATCACAAGTGGGTATTGCTCAGCATTTTGTCTAGGTACACAGTTTGGGCTTTGCTATGTGTATTAGTAGGTTAAAGCTCTTAGTTTGGAGAAAAAATAAAAGTGAATTGAATTTTTCATACTGGGAAGTTGGTTGATTTGGAGAATTCTGATCCATGTTTTCTCAGCTTTTGCTCTAGACTATTTAGCAGAGAACAAAAAACCCACTTATTCTTAGTGCTAGGAGCACAAATGGATATGCCAACTCCAGAAATACTGAAGACCTCTCCACTACATAGGCTAATTTCTTTTAACCCCTTCCTAAATAACTCTTCGTTTTGTGTATCCAAAGTTATAGCCAACTATTGGGAAGTCATGTCTCTTGTGTTCAATAAGGACTCCTTGTAAGCACTAATACTACCTGCCCAGGTCGAGCCAAATGTGTATCACTAAGCATAAAAGAAGTCTTTGTCAGTAGAAATAGCCAAGAATTTGAAATTGAGATGTGGTATCTCCTCATCCTTAATATTTCATATTTCTATGATCGACTGGAAGAAAAAAAATCCACTGTCTACCCCATCTTGATTTGTGCCTCTTAAAAGTGATAGCTTTTCCACTATCAGAAGAGGAACTGTGGGGCAGTTGGTTTCCAAAGGAAGCTGAAAACTGTGGATTGTTTTAGAAATCTTCCTCTCCCTCCGCAGCTCTCTAGTGGATTAACCTCCAGAATTCAATGGGGACTTTTTTTTTTTTTTTTTTTTAAAAAAACACACTTTT